GGGAGGGGGTGTATTAATTCGTTATGAAGCAACTTATATATAATTTTATTTTTCGTGCATCATATAAAAATGGATATATATCGGTTGCGCAGTGATAAGCTGACTTGGGCGTTCATTATTAGAAGTTACGATCTGGGTAATGGCACGGTAGAAAATAAACGGGAAATTTTGAGGGATGCACTCAGAAACGAAGCGTAAGGTAAGTTACGAACATGTAGCTTCAAATTTGATCCTGTTCGCGAGCTCACCATTTATTCAGCAAAATTAGAGGAACTATCAGGAAATATCGAAGAGCTTAATTTCGAAAATTGCGATAACGACTATAGGCAAATAAATTCGAGATCACTCCACGTAAACAGTAGGTTAAAAAACATTCCTGCCCCAAACGACATTTTGTTGAAAGAAAAAGAAAGTCTCACGGACTTGTGCAAAGATCTTGTTAACAATTTAGAGGAAACTTATACTAAGAATCGAACTGATGAAAACACTTCGATTACTTCAAACAATATCCCACCACAGGTAAACAATGATACTGCTGGCGAGAATCAACATGATGACTTTTCTGGCACCTCATCCTTACTAGATACAGACAATCCGTTAGTTTTCCCAAATATTCCATCTTCCGGTTATCTGGTTGATCTCGGCGTAAAACAAAATACACAAAATACAGTCCTAAATCTTTTTCAAAGACTCAAAAACTTGAATCTAAACATACGTCAAAATCCTAGTAATAACAATTGTGGCATACGAGCTTCACAAACACAACCTACTCATCATAAGAATGTGAACTTTGCTAATGGTACAGGGCTTTTGGGAAGTCTCACTCCGGAACCAAAATATTGCCAACGTGATTCAGATTCTAAATTTGTTGATGTTAGTGAATGGCAATTAGAGTTCGATGGACACTCGAGTGTGACTGACTTTTTAGAAAAACTTGAAGAGATGAGATTATCTCGTAACATCTCGGATTCGCGAATGCTTTCATTCATGTCGGAGTTACTGGTTGGTGATGTTTCGGTTTGGTATAGGTTTATCAGAAATAAAATTTATAGTTACCGCCATTTTTGTGAAACTTTGCGGTCAATATTTTTACCAAGAAACTATGAAGATAGGATTATGGAAATCATTAGACATCGAACTCAGGGAGGTAACGAGTCAGTAGTCATATACGTCGCATATATGGAAGGTTCATATGATAAGCTGTCACAAAAACCTAGCGAACTAACGCGTGTCAATTTTATCAGAAGTAAGATGCTGCCCCTTATTCAACTTGCTCTCGCTGGAAAATATATCGGTTCTATCGATTCTTTGATTTTTACCGGTCGTGAGGTGGAGGAAGCGCATGCTAGCGCTCAGGAATATCATGCACCCCCTGTGAACCCTCTAAATTCCGTAGAACCCGGCTTAGAATATCGTAGAGCGGCCGTTCGTATAAATTCGGTCTCACCGAATGGTAGACAGTCTAGAAATTCGAGAAGTTATCCTAACAATGTTGGACAACCCAATATGATTTCAACTCCTGATACGTCTTCAGCCCCCTCAAGGTCGAATAATATTAACCAGACGTGTTTCAACTGTGGCGAGGCTGGTCACTTTCGTCGAGTTTGTCCTCAACCACTGAGGAGACATTGTTTCCTGTGCGGAGAAGAGGGCGTAACCGTCAGAAATTGCCCAAAATGTTCGGGAAACGACCAACCGAATCAATAGTCGGTCATGCTGCAGATTCGGGAAGTGACGTAATGACCAACATATCAGAATTTGGTAACGAAATATTGAACAAGATTCGTCCGATTTTGTCTTACATATTTGTCAGTTGTCATGGGGGAATCGCCCCTATTTATTGGTTGACGTTTTGGGAATTAAACTGAAAGGTCTCCTGGATTCAGGTGCTAACCGTACGGTCTTAGGTAGACAGGGATTGGATATAATCAGCAGTTGTGGCCTGAAGCTATTACCTTCGAAAGTAGATACTTGTACTGTAGCAAACGACGAATCTTGTAGTGTTCTAGGCACTGTTAGTTCACCATTTTGTTTTGAAAACCAAATTCGAACATTGTCTGTTTCAATAGTACCGGAGTTACCTTGCTCTCTTATCCTCGGAATTGATTTCTGGATAGCAATGGGAATTGTACCCGATTTCAAAAATAGCTGCTGGTCATTCAATAACAGTGAGTCGGTTTCTGTTAACTCGATTACTGCCGAGAGTTGTCTGTCCCCTGAGCAGTCCCTCAGACTCAATGAACTTACCGAAAAATACTTTGCACTCATGGATTTCTTCGCTTGGTAAAACTAATTTAATTGAGCACAAAATAATTCTGACGGATCCTGAACCAATCAAGTTACGTCCATACCGCATTTCACCAGCAATCCAAGAACTAATTGATAAGGAAGTTAAATTCATGCTGGAGAATGATATCATAGAACCTTCTAAATCACCCTACTCCTATCCAGTAGTGATGGTGCCAAAAAAGAGAAGGGTTCATACAGATTTTGCGTAGACTATAGAAGATTGAATAAAGTCACTAAAAAAGACGCCTATCCAATTCCTTTTATTTCACAATATTAGATAAACTTCGAAACGCCAAATTTATTAGTTCAGTAGATGTCAAAACAGCATTCTTTCAGGTTTCCATATCAGAATATTCTCGTGCGTACACGGCTTTTACGATTCCTGGTAGAGGCCTGTACCATTGCAAGCGTATGCCTTTTGGCTTATCAAATTCTCCAGTGACCTTCCAAAGACTGATGGATAGTATATTAGGGGTGAAGCTTGAACCGTACGCGTTCGTATATCTAGATGATTTAATCATAGTTACCGGAACCTATGAAAAACACCTAGAAATTTTAGAAAATATCTTCAAAAGACTTGTAGCCGCCGGACTTACGTTATCCCGAGAAAAATGTCAATTCTGTCGTCCTGATTTGAAATACTTAGGATATGTTGTAGACAGTCAAGGCTTGCACGTGGATGCAGATAAAGTAAGGGCAATTCTAGAAAAACCTACACCTGAAAATGTCTCTGAAATACGCCGAGTGATAGGAACAGCCTCATAGTATAGGAGGTTCATCCCTTATTTTTCGACCGTAATTGCTCCTATGACCGAGTTATTACGCAAGCACAGGAAATGGAAATGGTCAGACGAATGTGAGAATTCATTAACGAAAATTAAAGATCATCTAGTAACGGCTCCAATCCTGAGCTGTCCGAATTTTTCCGAACAATTTCAGTTACAAACAGACGCCTCTGCATACGGTATTATCGCCGTTCTGTCGCAGAAGTATGATGACAGTGAACACGTCATAGCATACATAAGTAGGTCCTTGACTAGGACAGAGCGAAATTATAGTACGGTTGAGCGTGAATGTTTGGCCATCGTATGGGCCATAAAAAAACTCCGAGCATATTTGGAGGGCTATACCTTTTCTGTGTATACCGATCATCATAGTCTTACTTGGCTCCAAAATCTACCCCAGCCGAGTGGTCGACTAGCTCGGTGGATTTTACGTCTCCAACAATTTGACTATCTCGGGCGGTCCCCGATCTCAATTTGATTAGTTCAGACTCCAGGAGGACGATTCTTTTCAACACTCTACTGAAAAGTGGTACAACAAACAAATGAAATTATTCACTGAATTTTCATTAAGATATCCTCAATGGCGTGTCCAAAATGATGAATTAATCAAATACGTCTCTAGTCCTTACTCAAAGCTCACTGGTTCCGCTTATGAATGGAAACAAGTGGTTCCGACAGATACGTTGGACCTTTCATTGTACAGCAACGCCTTAGTCCCTGGACATATGAATTGAAAAACTCGGATGGAGCAGACTGTGATGTCTGGCACTCGATGGACCTAAAGCCAGACTCCAACGACCAGGTGTAGTTGTAGGACAGCAAGGTCACTAATTATCGCAGTTGGTTTATTAACTTTTCTTTTTTTTTTTATAGTCTCTTTCACGGATTAGTTTGTACCCTATGATACATAGTTCTTCACGACCAATTTTTGTGAAATTCAACGATGGATATTCGAATTTGTGGTCGTAGGATTTGATGATTCTAGTTTGTGTAGTATACTGGATCATATACGTTGCCTTCATTTGTCAGAGGTTTGGGGGTATGTCAGTCTCAGACATTCTCTTTAGTTTTACTTTTCATTGATTACTTAGTATTTTGTTTAGTCTCAATTCTGTGGTAAGATGGCAATACCATACATGTCGAGATTTCGCCATTTTGAGTTTTTTACACCTATATGTTCGTAATAATGAGATCTATAAGATGGCAAAACCATTTGTGTCAGAACTATCTCTGTATGATTATATTCTTGGTGACAAAAACAAATATGTTGAATACAAACATGCTCCTGACTTTGGCAATACCACATAAGTTTCATAAATAATAAATCGCGTCAATGATTTTCTTGGATGATTGATTTTACAAGAGGGCAAAATAATGTATGTTGATATATTATAAAGTGACAATGACATTCTCAGTCTAGAGTATCGGCTTGAAAGTTGGCAAAAAACAATATGTTGACATACATACTTTTACCCACTTCGATTCATTCGAGTAACAATATCAAATTTTCAGGATGGTAAATGAAGATATGTATGCATATTTGATTTTGCCAACTTGTTCATTCACCGCAAATGATTTATGCGCAGTGTGATATGTTACATATTTGGTCTCGCCATCTAGTGAATATTATGGGTATGTGTATAGAACTGCTGATGAAGTGGTATGTTTTTCAGGTTGGAATCCATTTTGATTGCCTGTTTCGACTAAATGTTATGTTGTTGTTGTGTTGAGTTATTCAGTGAATGAAATGTATGAATATGTGAGTAGATTCAACAGTTCTATACCTACATATTCATGGTTTTCTTATGAATGAACTGAGTTTTGTGCAATCAGTGTTGAGACAAAAAACGTGAGTATACCCAGATGTGATTTACCTACTATTAGCGCTGAGTTTAAACCTGTTTTATTTTCCAGTAAATTCAGAATATGATTTGTAACAAATGTGGAAAAGATTTTCTATCCAGAGGATTATTGGTTGCGCACTGCTGCAGGAGTTTGTTACCTGAATTAAATGTTTATAACAGAGATAACCCATCAGATGAGAAAACCGATTATACGGGCCATGTTCCATTAATATCTCATGAATCCTTCAATGTTATAGATGAGGTAAATGATGCAAATTCCACTTTGAATCATGAGAAAACAGATGACATTCCTCAGGTTGTAGGAACAACATTGATAGAATTAACTGGAATTGACATCGACTGTTGTTCAAACTTGGTGAGTAACACACAGAAGGAACAATAGCACATAACAGGTGGCTTTGAATATATTCGAATATTTATGAAACTCAAATTAATAAATCATTCAACTATGAGTTCATCAATTTGGAATATGCAATCATATCAGAATTTTTGTTAGGTTTTCATCTCATGCAGAAATATTTTGAGCGTTGCGAATAATATAAATAAAAAAACAGAGAATTAGTTATTTCATACAAATAGAGTTCGAATAATTCAAAATCAGGTACATTTGTAAAACTTCTCCAATATTATCAGAAACCACTATATTTGCAGGGACATAATGATGGGTCTCATCCTGAACCTCATTCAGAAAAACCTGGTTTCAATGTTGATGGGATTGGATGTTTTCAAATAAACGAGATAGACTTGCCTACATGTTCAAAAAATACTGAATTTGATGCTGACAACTTCTCGGATCTGGTAATTGAGAAGATTCGTAGTTATCACCACATTCTATTGTACCTTTCTATATCATCTTACAGGATCAAGATGATTCGGATGTTGATCCAAATTGGTGTCCAGAAGACGATGGCTCCAACAAAATGACAAGAATCATCAAACAATTTCGTCCTGCCACTCCAATGACTCCTAATAGTGAGTTTTGTCATTGATTGTTGCTCATTATCGTTCTTTTTTTAATCAAAATAATAATATTCCAACGAATATTATTTTCAGATATTGTATCACAGGAAGATACAGAGCACATAATACATGAGACTGCAACTGAGGATTCAGAAAGTTCAGAAAGTGAGGGAACAGTGACGGATATGGTGAAGAAGAAACGGAAAATAGGTGTGAGACAACGTGAAGAAGAACAGAAGAGAAAACATTTAGGGCTGACTTATAAAAATAGGAAGGGAATTTTACATCCAGCAAAAGAATTCAACATCATAGTGCAATGTTGTAAAAAGAAATGCTTCGAGAATTGTTCTCCTGAACAACAGAAAATGATTTGGTCTAATTATAACAATAAACCTCCTGATTTGCGTAAGCAAGTATTATGCGAACGGATGACCATCTCTAAATGTAAATTTCACTCAATAGGTAGAGGCACGAAGGGAGGAAAACCACATAATCGAGCCATTACTGTAACCTACTCAATTCTCTTAGGATCCCAAAAGGTAGTAGTGTGCAAAAACTTGTTTACCAAATTACATGGCATAACATCAAATCAGCTGAACCTTCTCGTTAAGAAACTCAATGCATCAGAAGACGGGTTCATAGAAGTAGATTCGAGAGGAAAACATATTCCTCCTAATAAGTTGATCGACGAGCGGATTGCAATCAGAGTATTCATTGACCAATACCCAAGACATGAAAGTCACTACTCACGGAGAGATAACTCAAATAAGATATTCTTACCAAGCCATCTCACTATACGCCAAATGCACATAGAGTACAAGGAAGAAAGAACGAAAATGGGATTGCTGAAATCTGCAAGTTATGATGTTTTCCGCAACGTTTTCAATCAAACTGGTTACAGGTTCAAACAACCTTATATTGACACTTGTCGTAAATGCGATGAATTCAAGGCTCTGAAAAAGAGTGCTACTACCGAGGCAGGAAAGGAAAACCTCAACCAGCTCCACAATGAACATATTATGGAAGCTAATGAGGCATATGAAAGCAAACGGAAAGATAAAGAATCAGCTAAAGAAGATAATAGTAGAAGGGTATTGGTTTTCGACCTGCAACAAGTTTTACCAGCTCCGTATCTGTCTACCAACATAGTCTACTATAAGCGGGTGTTGTCTGTTTACAATCTTACAGTTCGAGACTATTGTTCTACTGAATCATCTATCTGTTTTATGTGGCATGAGGTAATTGGAGGAAGAGGATCTGACCAAATTGCTTCATGCATTTTTAAGAAGATTATGGACTTACCTGATACTGTTCAGCATGTCACAACATATTCAGACACCTGTGGGGGGCAGAATCGGAATGTTAATATGGCAGCAATGTTTCAATACGCCCTTCAGAAGAAACTTACGATCGAATTTGTTGATCAGAAGTTTCTATTACCTGGTCATACACGACTTGAGTGTGATAGTGACCATGCAAGAATTGAAAGAAGTAAGAAACAAATCTCAGATGACTTCAAAATAATGGTGCCACGTGACTGGTGTCAATTTATCCGTTCGCTTAGAGGAAAATCCAAATTCAGCGTGATCGATATGACTCAAGATGATTTTCTGGCATTTTCCAAACTATTAGGTGATATTCTAGTGAAAAGAACGTGCGACACTGATGGTGATAAGGTCTCTTGGTTGAAAATCAAGTGGCTTAGATACACGAAAGAATTTGGAATTATCAAATTCAAGTACACTCTGGATGAAACAGTACCATTCAAAACATTAGATTTGAAACGGGGCAGAATGAGATGTAGGACATCGATCGATCATTCTTCAATCGGCGCAGTTCCACGTTCATACAGTGGTCCACTGGGTATAAATCCTTTGAAGAAAAAAGTAATATATAATAATAATAATAGTTTTATTGCCTTGAAACATAAAGTTACAGCAAGGGTTTGGTTGGGAACATAAATTTTAGTTTACAGTGATCCTAGTAAGTTATAAGTACCTATACTAATATTGACCGTTATTCGCTCAGAATAAATGATCGAAGTTTCAGAATATCATGTACGTAATTACAAATTATTTTAGCATTTTCTATATCTATGGCTTCTAGGGTTGAGGAGAGAGATTGGAGATTCATTAGACAATCAACTTTTGGTTTCATTACGTTGTAAATAGGACACTCGAAAAGTATATGTAATAGTGTTTCATTCTCATTTCTGTTACAAACTGTACAGATGCTGTTTGGGTCAATTATGTATGAAATATTGTTGTAAGTGAATTTCAAACGAAATTTATTACAGAGACGAAGTTGAGCAAGAGTGCGTGTAACTTGAATGGGTAACTTCAGCAGTAAATAGTTTTTTGGTTCTACTTTAGGTGTAAAGGAGGTATACAATGACATAAAATGGCTGCGCGCCGCTAAGGAAGCATCAAGACTGAAAAGTTTATCATAGTAATCCCTGAACAACTGCTTTTTGTTTGTTTTGAGGGTGTGGCTACTAAGATTATTCCAAAGCTGTTCATGTCCAATAAATTTAAACATCTGCCTAATCTGTGCAACCCAGTTGTATTTTATATCTGATGCATCGATCAAACGAAGTTGTTGTTCGAAGCATATCTTAGGGTACCTATCACTGCTCATACTCAGAACCTTCTCTAGCCAGTTGAGGGTCATTTTGAATACATTGTATGCGTATTTTACTCTTCCAGTATCAAGTCGTATAGCACAGTCAGGGGTGTTGATGGGCACTAAAAGGATTCTTTTAAGAAAAGTGATTTGCACTCTTTCTAGTATTTCTAAATATCTCAAACTCCATACTGGTGCACAATTAGACAAAGTACTGAGGGCCAGAGACTCAAAGATTTTGATTCGGGGATACCATGTGTCAATTTTAGCCCTGGTCATTATAGGTAATATTGATCCGATGGCCTGCTTAGCTTTTTCAGCCGTAGAAATAGCCATTTCATGGAATAGACAGGAGCTTGTGAAAATAACTCCTAAATAGGTGTACTTATTTGTGATACTCAAAGGACGCTTATTGAATTTGAATGGGTAAATATTGTTCTGAAATCCTCCCCGGGAAAATTGCATTATTTTTGTTTTATTCATATTGACATCAAGGTTTTTCAGGGCAGTATATTCCTCCAGTATCCTGAGCTTCTTCACCACATCTATTTCTGAGTTTGCCAGAATGACCATATCATCGGCATAGAGAAGCGCCAAGACATCCTGTTTATCATCAATATTCACACCTTGAGCTCCTTGTGTGTAAAAAAAATCTTCAATATCTGATATGAAAAGTGAAAATAGGAGAGGACTCAAAGATTCTCCCTGTAGCACACCTGTAGTTACATCAAAAGGATTGGAGAGTCCGTCAGATGATTTGATTCTGAAAGATGCCTTTGAATATAAACTTATTATTACTTTTAACATTTTCGCAGATACTCCCAAGTCGAATAATTTATCCCATAAAAGCTGATGTACTATTGAATCAAAAGCTCGACGAAAATCTACAAATATAGCGAAAAGTTTCCGTTTCCTATGTCTAATATGTAAATGTATAAGGGAACTCAAAGTGTGTACATTGTCGATACAACCTCGGCCAGGCCTAAAACCTGCCTGACATTCAGGCAAAATTTTGCAGTCGTCTGCCCACAAAGAGAGCCTATCCAAAAGAATATGTGTGAATAGTTTTGCACAACAATTGATTAGAGCTATACCCCTGAAATTCGCTGGCTCTTCTGCTGGCCCGCCTTTGTGGAGCATAGTTAACAAAATATCAGACCATGCATCGGGAGTGGAACCACATTCAAATATTTCATTAAAAAGGACAGTTAAGTAGAGTATCTAATTCTGAGGAAGATATTTGAGAAATTCATAAGTAATATGATCACTTCCTGGTGACTTGTTATTCTTACAATTAATGAGAACACCGTGAATCTCTTCAGATGTAATAGGTTCATCAAGGTATGGGTGACTGACATAAAAATAAACTACATCTTGATTCATTCTTGGTGGATAGATGTTTCTGTAAAAAACTTCCCATACTTGAGATGGAAGAGTTTTTTGTCTGGAGTAACCTCGTAATTGTTTAACGGTGAGCCAGAAATCCTTAGGGTTTGATAAGTTACTCAATTTATTGATAATATCTGCATTATGATTCTGTTTTTTAGTTGCAATCAATTTTTTGTATTCTTTCTTAGTTTCAATGTAACGTTGTTTGGAGGTTTCAGAGAAAGCATCTTGTCTAGCTGTTTTTAAAGTAATCCCAAGTTGTTTTTTAGTGTCAATGCAAGTTTTATCAAACCAAGGTTTGTTTCTGCTCATTTTATTATTTCCTGGTTTATTATTCATTATTTTCTTCAGTCCTAGATCATTAGCAATATCGTATACAGCTTCGCAAAAGTTTATATACAACTCGTTAGCATCAGATATAAAACCAACTCTGTTAGAATTGCGCATAGCCATTTTATAATCTATTGCACTTTCAGGTTTCCAAGTGAGCATTTTAGTGTTAGAAACATTATCTACATAAGAAGTTTTAGGCAGGATATTTGTATTGATGTTAAGAGATATGTTTATTGGGAAATGGTCAGATAAGAAGTCATCTTCGCCTACAAAAAAATTACTCACTTCTGTTAAATGAATGTTACTTACCCAAACAAGATCCACTACACTCTTACCCTGTTTACTCACATACGTGAATTTGGCTGGCCTGTCAAGTGAGGTACGTCCATTGAGAAGTGAAAACGAATTATTGCACATAAATTCAATGAGGGCTCGGCCACGAGAATTTGATATTAGGTCTAAGCTGAGCCTGTCTTCAAATAAATTAGAATTTTCGACAACTTCACTAGGCACAGAGCCCAAATTGGAGACACGACAGTTGAAGTCACCACCTATCGCATTTACATACTTTTCTGTTATTTCTGTTAAAGTCATCTGAAAAGAATCTAGAATCAATTCAATATTTATACTTGGTTTCAAGTATATACTACAGAAGATGATATCGTGGCCATCAAAAGAGAAATGACAAATTATCCAGTTGGTCGATTTATCTAAGATATTGAGCTTGAAAATATTTCTATAAAAAACACAGAGTCCACCACTTGCCCTTCCTAATGACTTTTCTTTCACCGCACCTACACAAACCACATCGAAGTCTGATAAACTAGATGAAGATGATGTTATTTCGGATGTCACCCAAGTTTCAGAGACACAAAGAATGTCAAAATATGCTGAGGAGGTGATATTGTCCAAGTTTCTATATCCATGACAGTTCCAGAATGCTATAGTAAGTTTTTTGAGACACCAGTATCAATTTTGTTGATTTTTACAGTATTTTGTCTTGGCGAGAAATTTGAAGAAAAAAGACCTTTTATCGATGCTAGATCTCATAGACAAGGACTGTCATCATTTTTACGAAAATCTACCGACAACTGGCAAAGCGAAGGAATATGATGAATTGAATGATAACTCAGATTCCGAATCCGAGGACTAAGATTTTATTATTTTCATATTTCATTAAAAGAATTGCATGATTTTTTTCCTTTCATTACCCTTACTCTTTATCAGTAATATGTTGAGTATGTCGATGATATTGGGGAATTTTGAGATGGCAAAACCAGATATGTTGACAAAATCTTTTTTTTTTTCGAAAAATAAAAAATATACCATATTCATATTTCACATACTCAAACAATACGTACATTTCCACACAACTATCCAGTAATAAGAACAATTATTCCTATCGCTCATTTTATAAAAATTATATAGTGAGTTCGAAAACTTCAAATCGTTGTCCTGAAAAACGATCAAAAACGACATATCTGGTTTTGCCATCTCACCACAGAATTACTTTAGGTTATCGCAAAAAAAAAAATGAGTGTAATCACCACATTTAGACATGATTAAAAATTTCTGCGAAATTTTCTGCGAAATTTTCTAGTCGGGAAGGGGGGAATTGTTACACTCCATTTTCTCACCAACACCCTTTCTCCAGAACTTGATTCTTTACTTTATTGGTTAACTTATCAATAACTTTACTTTCATATCATAGTATAATGTATAGTTCTTTCATCCGTTCATGGTTCCCGTATCACTACTCTGGTATTCCACATCTTGATGTTTACAATATCATCATTGATAGCACTAAAAACATAATATTGATTACACATGATTGATAAATGGATGAGTTCAAATCACAACCCGTTGAAATATCGTCAGTATAATCCATCACTCTATATATATTAGGGTTTTTATACAGCTCTCCGATCGAGGAAAGTCCACACAGACGTATCAGAATGGTATCCGGTACTGGACTCGGTACTGAATATCTATCTCCTCACTGCGAGTGAGACAAAGACGTTGAATGTAACGCGAGTCTATCATAAATTCAATACATTTCAGAAAACTTGAGCAGGCGAACTAGTTGTCTAATTAGATATCTATACTCTTCACTCAGGTGTGTAAAGTAAGAAGGGTCGGAGGTTGGTCCGTATATAGCTACTTCTGTCCTAGCTTGTTCCATTCCGATATCCGGTGATGTTACCAACTTATCTTGTAGTTTTGGATAGTACAGAAACTGCTATTACAGGTGATTCAGGTTGGTAATTCGGGAAGTCTCTGTCGAGGTCCATTTTCAGTGAAAACATTTTTGCGTTGATCAGGTGCCCATTGGATTTTGTATTGTTTTGTAGAAAAATCGAGGATTTCTGAGGAAATTGTTTTGTTTCTCACTTCCACATATAGTTTGTGTCTCTGGGTTTGGAACCGATCTTTAAATAGCACCTAAGGTGGATATCTTCACTGGAACTCTCATCCCGCCAAATTGCTAAGAGCTATTACCATTCCGGATCTCCCAACACCATACAAATATAGCTCCAGGAACAACCTGGTATAGAAAGTCCCTCAAATTGATGAGGGTTTTTGTATTGGGGCTTCTCTAAGGAGAGTTTGAAAGCCT